TGTACTGCTCCATCAACTAGTTTATCCTTGTACTAAAGCCACACTGTCAAGGACTCCTTGTGATTATTGTTGGAATTGTATTAAATTTATACATTAATTTGGGAATAATTGATATTTTAATTTTTCCATTCAGGAAAGTGGTATTTCTATTTATTTTGATTTTTATACTTTTTAAGAACATATTATGGTTTTCTTCATATAGGACTTGTATCTTTCATGTTAAAAATATGATTTATTTTAATTTTTTAATATTGTAAATGTAATTCTCCTCTCCCACTTTGTCTACTTGAAAAAGTCAACTTTTAATGCTATAGTTTTTTTATTGTAATATTTTTTATCCATGAATTAGAAACATTTTATAACTTTTTATAGATGTTTTTCATGTATCATTATAATCCAAGCTTTAAAAAATTGCTATTTCAAATTCTCTATAAATATTTTAAATAGTTGCATGATTTTTCCTCACCATAACTTTTAAACCATAATTCTTCATTCTTTATCTATAGCTCAAGGTAGCAGTATTTCTGGTTCTTGAGTCGTGGATTCTTTTTAAATATTTGTTTTAGAAAAAGTGCTAAATTTCAGAAGGGCATAGAGGTAAGAAAGATATCACCAGTAATTCTTTTACCAAGTAGCTCTTAATTTTTCACATACGTCCCTTCAGAATTAAAAAACACACACACATTTTGGAGCTAGTTAGAGGTGATGGCTATACAGCACTTTTTAAAGAAATGTTTTTATTGATTTTTAACGGGAGAGGAAAGTGGGTGGGGGGAGAGAAAGAGAGAGATGGAAAGAGAGAGAGAGAGATGAGAGAGAAACATTGGTCGGTTGCCCTCCATATGCACCTGGACCAAACCTGAAACCTGGGCATGTGCCCTGACTGGGAATCAAATCAGTGACTTTTTTTTTTAATAAATTTTTTATTGATTTTTTTTACAGAGAAGAAGGGAGAGGGATAGAGAGTTAGAAACATCGATGAGAGAGAAACATCGATCAGCTGCCTCCTGCACACCTCCTACTGGGGATGTGCCTGCAACCTAGGTACATGCCCCTGACCGGAATCGAACCTGGGACCCTTCAGTCTGCAGGCCGACGCTCTATCCACCGAGCCAAACCGTTTAGGGCAAATCAGTGACCTTTTGATGCACGGGAGGATGCTCAACTAGCTGAGCCACACTGGTCAGAGCCCTTTAGAATTTTTTTTAAACTTCCCTCTTTTATTATTTTTCAAATTATTATTTTTAAATATATATTTTTATTTATTTCAGAGAGGAAAGGCAAGGGAGAGACAGAAATATCAATGATGAGAGAGAATCATTGATCAGCTACCTTCTGCACACCCCCCACTGGGGATCGAGCCCGCAACCTGGGCATGTGCCCCTGACTGGAATAGAACCTGGGACCCTTCAGTCAGCAGACCAATGCTCTGTCCACTGAGCCAAACTGGCTAGGGCTGTTGCATTGTGTATCTTAAATATTTGTCTGACTTGTAGACTATAGCCGGGGATTGATTTCTGCCAGTAAAATTCATGGTTTAAAGGGTGTGAACCATTTTGAAACTTAATTTATTTAACATAAATGTAGACCATGGTCCATTTCAAATTATCATCATGTAATGGCCTTGCTTTAGCAAGGCTAGTTGATAATTGTACTGTCTTAAATCTGAGATGTGGCTAATGCGATTAATTGACTGATTTTCATGGGTCCAAGCGGCTCCATTCCAGGTGACATTGGAGCTTCCACTTGTGGGTAATCTAGTCCGTTTTCATGCTTCTACTTAGTTTTTTCCAAAAGGTTCCAGTAAAGCTGTAACGTAAGAAAAGGATTAATTTGAAATATACCCTTCTGTCGCAAGGCTAATGTGATGCAGTTTATAAAAATGCAGCATTTATTACTGATCTGTCTGTCCTAAAAAAAAAAAAAAGCACAGATTGCCATAAAAAAAAGCACAGGATTCTCCGGAATCTCATTACATACTAATGTGGCAGGTTAAGTAGTCTTGAAATATAGGATAACCCTCAGGAAAACCAGTGCTTGCAGAATTTTATCAGGGAACTAGTTAAGCTCATGCCGTGTCCAGCTGTGCTGGTGGATACTTACATTCAGCGCAGAAAAAC